GGGGTTGGTTGGTTGGGTTTTGGTTTTTTTTTTTTTATTTTATTTTACAGCCTTGGTCAAGAACAGAAATTGCAAAATCACATCATGCAAACATACCTTATATCCACCAATACGATGCTCTTGTTTAAACTCTTTAAATTTTTCAGCCATCGCATGGTTGGTGTTGGGTTTCCCATCGCTGGACAACGAAACTTGACGGTGTTCGCTGCTGGCACCGCATGTAGCCTTTTCTCCATTTTGTCCGTATGTGTCCAATAGGGTGCCCCTGTTTCAAAGAGATACATCCAGAAATATCAGTACTCGGAAACTGAGCTCCCTTTCTAGCCCCTTCCACAGACATACAGTGCTGCACATATTCATTTTAGCAGAGACAGTGTGGTTTTAGAAAGAGTACGCGACTGGAAATCATATGCCACAAGTGTTGACCAGAGTTTTGCAAACAGCTCAGTCTGAAACCTTGAGTATATAAGTTATGACAAAATTCCAATAATTAACCACAGATATCCTTTGTTTTGTGTATGTCAAGTAAGACAGAGGGACCGAGTTTTCAGCAGACTCAAATGATCAGATGCTTTTGACCTCAAGTTGAGTTACTGTGAACGCTCAGCAAACTTTGAATTCTCAGAAGCCAGACAGACCAAGTCAGAAGACCTGTTGGAAGCCTTAGCCTTAACTTTTCCCCATCTGTTAGAAGGGGACAAACGTACCTACCTGCCTGGCAGCGCGCTAAAACTTACAGTGTACCACGGCAATGTGAGCTGTCCTGTTATAGAAACCACTAAAATATATTTACAAACAGAGGACCAGCAAAACTCAGCAATAGCGTTGATCATTTTGCAAGGATTTCCCACTCTCATGAGCCTGTCGAAGCCCAAATGTTCACTGATGTCCAACACCACGGCACAAAACAAGAGTGTCTCTCTGAGCCCGTATTTACTGGAGCGATCGCTTTTACCAGCTCCTGGTAAGGCTCTCCTGGCTCTCTCTCACTCCTTCCCATGCCCTGACCCAGCCTGTGCCCACACGAGGAGCATGAGGAGCACACGGAAAACCCCTCTCTTGTCCAGGTTCTCAATCATTTGTCACGTACCAGTACAGCAAACACAGCAGAACAAAACATACAACTACCCATCTGTTTTTACCCTCCAAGGAGTAAATTTGGATAGACAGATCCACATACAAGGTTATCCCATGCTCTGGATCCATGCACCACTTTGGCTACGTTGCGCAGCATCTTCATGGCATCGCTTCAGTTGTCTCACCATACCAGTTTTTAAAAAGTTAAAGAGTCAAGATCTATTTACCAGTAGGAAACATTAATTTCTTTTACAATGGAGTTTTCCTGAAGCAAATCAGATTAGTGTGGAATTTTTAAGACTAGAGGGGTCCAGAAAAATAACTCTATTTCTCTCAGCCCTGTTTCATTTCCTTCATTAGCAGCCTAACACTCCACTATAAATAAACTCTTCCGTTCCTCAAATATTTATAGCAGTTCTTACAATCAGTGCAAACTCAGAAATCCTGCCACCCCCCTCTCTAAATAAAAATACAGCTGGATAGAAAATACAAGAATAAATCCTTTAACAACATCTCTCTCAGTATAAAGAAAACATTCCAAAAGCAAGTCTTATAACGATGCTAAGAACGATAAGTGATTATTTTTTTTTGCCTGAAGTGGCAATTAGTGTTAAAATTAATGAAGTAGAAAAGCAAAGCAGATTTGTGCATGTAATCAAAATAGAAAATCAGGTAACTACCGAAAATTTAACTGCAACACTACGAAATTGTTACACGGACTAAAACGATTTAGAGATGCAAGGAAAATCACTGTTGACATTATTCACTAAAACCAGGATCGTGTTAAAATAACGGAAGACTTTAAACATAGCCAACCAAAGGAATTAACTACTACACGCAGAGACAAAATTGCGTTACAAGTACACCCGGCAAAGGCGGACTTACGTGTTGGTACTGATATATGAAAAGGATATTTTTCTCTGGATCACTAAACAGCTGCCACAGGGCAAAGTAAGGTGACCAATATTGGGCCCTACCCACAATTCCCACAAAGTCAAAGTAAACTGTGGCAGGTCAAAGCCAATCAACCATCCAAACCAGTTATATTGGCATCTCAGACAGAGCAGAGCACCTGGATTTGACCCCAAAACTGGCAACACCGCCCAGCAACTTTGCAGCCAGCATGGTCACTTCTCATCACGTCCGCCACACGCACCTTCTCACACCCATAGAGCATAAAAAGGTTGGAAGCATCTGCTGGCAAGCACAACCTCTGAACCACAGGCTCCACAGCTCACCCAGGCGAGCACAGGCTGGACCACGCTCTGGAGAAGCTCCCAAAAGGGTGCAGCCCGGGACCGGGGCGTCTGACTTGGTCAGGGTCTGTCCACCAACAGTTCCCCAAACAAGGCTGCTTCGTGCAGCCAGGTTTCTACTCGGCCACCAGCCTGTACTGCGTTACAGGGCAGTTCACCCTCTGGTTTTCTTGCACAACCCCCCTTTCCATCAACCTTCATCCTTTAAAAAAAGCTCTGCCTCTGGAAGAGGAGTGCTTCAATAAAACTCATATATAACAAATGCACAGGGAGGAAAAAATTTTGCTCTATGGAAGAGGTGGGAGCAGACAAGAGGCCAGGACGATGAAGGCAGGAACGAAGAGAAGTGGCTCAGTTCTGTGCCATGGAGAGAGGGGGAAAGGAAACTCTCCGGGCTGGGAGAAAGGAGTCTGCTTGGAAAGCTTCCCCTCGCACAACCCTCACATCAACATAATCTGCAATGCTCCTGAATTACAAGGGAGCTTGGAGAAAAACATGCGGACATCACATGTTGAAAACGCTGTCTGAAAATGCTTCAAGACATCCTACCATTTTTCACTAGGTAGTTGCAACGTATATTGGCAGCTCCTCAGCATGTTTAAGGGAAAAGAGGAAAAGGCAGCAACATCCACAAACCATAATACTCGCCCTCATTCTGTGCTTTCATACAGCGACTGATCCAATTAACACACAGCATTTCTCTTTATCATAACCTAAAAGCACCTTTTACTGCTTCTATTTGTCTTGAGAGGCAAAACATCCAGATTCACTAAACCCAATAATGAACGTAGTTAACGAGCATATGCCACCAAGTGCCGAGTCCTCTCACAGACTGTGTCCACCACATCCCATCTTTGGTAACAGGACAGGTGGAAGTAGGTAGCACCACTGTTAAAAGTTCACAGTAACAATAGGGCAGGCTCTGGTGCGTAGCGGCAACAAGCAGCAGGGGAACGGGTGGGAACTCCTGATTGCTTTTAGAGCTCTCATTAGTGAAGAAAATATCCTGCTGACCCACACTGCACTCCACTGCAAATACATTACATCTAATCAGGCAAATCTCCTGCATCTGAAATTGAAATTAGGCAGCCCAGGGGACCACTTCACTTCAGGACTCCTCAATTTTTATTTGGACTTGTCTAATACAAAGAAATACAAAAGTAGTCAACTCCAAGCCTGCCTGACAAGCACCTCGAGCAGGCAATAGTGTGCCTGAAATGACCACATCAAACTCCCCCAAGGTTTTCAGCAGTATTGTATTTGACCTTTAATTAAAAAACACTTCTAGGCAACATCCAATTTTTGCTGCTCCCTTGAGTGGGTTTCCACTCTACAGGATTTGATGAATTTGAACCTTGTTTCATCCTTTCTGAAATTCTTCAAGGCATGAAAAGAACAGCATGTGGATTACATTTAGATACTTTTTGTTCTTGGTGCCAATTTACCATTGCTTGGCCCAGAAGAAATTGTTTAAAGGGCGATAAGGAAAAAAGCCATAAAGCTTCCAGTCGCCTGACTAGAATTCAAGGCAGAATAGCAGCGTCTTCAGGGCTACCCAGGGGTCTCTAGAACAAATTACTGTTGGTGGACCTCAGTGCAACCATCACAGCAGCTGCTGCCTTGCCAGCACCAAGCCAGGATTATAGAAATCCCTTAAATTAGGGCTACATATCAAAATCATGATGAGGACGAGGCAACAAGTACCAACAATGTATATTCCACTGCTGCCAGTAGGAACTGATGATAACCAGCCCTTAACTTTGTAAAAGAAAGTCCCAGGTCAAGGTCCTGGAGAAAAAGCCTTGGAGGTGGCCCTCCAGAACCAAGCTGAGGCACCTTCTTAGGGCAACAAAGTGAAAAACTGAGTTGCCAGCAAAGCCACTTTGTGGAGAGAGAGGACTATTTTGCAGTGGAACCAATCCTGCACCTTCCACAAGCACTAATCCCTTCAACAAAAGCTGGAAGTAATAAAAAGCTATTCGGGATGCAGTCTGGAACAAATCTACCACAGTGTTTTTTCAGAGAGTTAAAATATCTGTCAAGCTAGAAGGACACCAAACGCAGAGTGAAATCTGCTATGCATGCCTTTTACTTAAAAATACACACAGGGCAAACGGTCAAACGCATGTGTGTACACGCGAGTGCCCCCCTCTCCCAAGAGCGAGTTGCTCCTCACAGCTACCAAGCCACTTAAAGCCTCCGTTGACTTCAAGAGCAGTTGTATTTTCTGGGCAGCCTTGAAAGTTAGGCTAGATTTCCTCAACAGCCTCTCTGCCCGCACTGGAAAACCTTGGCCTCTGAAAATATATTTGTAACAGAGGCAAAGAAAATCAAAAAGCTTAAAAGAATACTTACCTTTGTAAATAAGACAGCTCTAAAAGGTTTGCTTTAGTTTTAAATATGCAGGAATGAGAATGCCAAGGTTCAGTTTCCTGTGGAAGGCACTACGGCCATTTCCTGCCTCATCACATCATAATTAACATGCCAGGACAGCTGGACTTTATCAGAATTGTTTCATCAAAAAGCAACAACCTTTGAAGACTACGGCCTTTTGTTTCCATCAGTAAAGGCATAACCAGGCCAATTTCCATTGCTTATCCTTAATGATCACAGCTGTAATTTGTATGTAAATTATCAGTTAAATTGTTTTAGATCTGCAAAGCTCAAACCATGATTCAGGAAACACTTAAAGATTTCTTTCTCTTAAAGAGCAGCAACCAGGGGCTCTTGTGAGGTCCTGGACTTCCCTAGGCTCTGCCTAACGTAGGCAGGAGAAGGTGGTAAAGGGCATTTGACCATTGCACCCCAGTGCCTGCCCCGCGGCACGCTCAGGGAGGGCTTAGACCCCTCCTCAACTCCTCCTTCACTTTTCAATCTGTCTTGCAACCATTTCTTAAATTAGATGTGGCCTTTTGGACACAATGTAAAATCTAGAAGGGCAATGGCAAATGATACTGATGGGAAGGCTTAGAAGACACTAGAAGACACTAGATATGCAAGCTTCAGCCGCTTGCAAAAGCACCGCACCAAGTCCCACCCCCAACTTTCATACAGCTCTCGTCTTGCCAAATCACAACCCTCTTTCAGCAACGTTGTATTAATCCAACTGAGTAACCATGATGCAACTTCTCATTGGAAACAGACTGCTTGCAGCGATGCGGTGCCACGATCATTCTTGCAGCTCCAGCTCTCCCCACCGAGCGCTCAGACATCAGGCGGAAGGCTGCGCCGCCCCCTGCGCCTGTCTGCATCTTTCGAGAAGCCCCAGTAGTTTGTGGGCACGTTGTAAAGAGCAATCTCACGAGGATTTGTTTGTGCAACGCTCTGCTCAGGAGCAATCTGTCTTCTTGCAGTTTCCTCCCTTCTACACTGCAAGAGTTTGTGCTCTCCCCGCTATCCGAGATGTTTAAATGTTCACACTCTAGAGGCATCTTTCATTTCGAGCAGGGAAAGTGTGACTGACCCCTGCTAAAGTACACACCCCATCCCTGGCAGACGGAAATTGTCAATGGCTTTTCACCAGCTCCTGAATCAAGATTGATTAACAGTAGCTTAAAATGATAGCTCACATTACAAGGCCATCACTAGCGTTACAGGAGACACCACCGGGTAATCCTCTGTGTTGCACGAAAGGGCAGGAGCCATTACCACGACGTTACAGAGCACAGTTGCCTTGAGACAGTCCTTTCAGGTCCTTTTCTTTTTTCTTCCTACATGCACTTCCAAAATCCATTTGTGCTCGCAGTCAATATCCAAAGCCATCCGCACGGATTAGAAGCACAACTGTCTTTGCTAACACACCGCAAATATTGCGAGCCCTTTTCTGACCAACACCAGTGAAGCTCTAAAGCGATAACAGACATAGGGATGTTTCCTAGGAGGAATTTCTACCCACGAGTCCTTTTCACGGGAACGCTAAATGTTGCCTGGGCTTGTGGGTTTTGCCTAGACAACTTCTTTTAAAAGCAGTGTCCCTTTTCCAACCTCGCCAATTATCTTTGCCACCACATTCCTTTGTCAGAGCAGCCTCCAGCTGCTTACTCTCAGCCACTTCAAGCTGCACCTGTGAATCAGACCGGGTTAATCACACTAACAGATGGCAGGGGCCAAACAGGCAGCTAAGAACTTATATCATTTTAAATAGCATCTAATGTTTCACAGCTTCAGATCGGGGGCAGTCGTATACAACAGTAACTAACTAGGGGAGCTGAAATCAGGCTCATACTTTATCATCTGAACAAGTGTTTCAAGCATACAGTTTAGCTGCCAATTACCAGTCGGGCTGAGGAGCAAATATACTACCTGGCTACTGCGTTCGGTAACTAGCTGACATCTCCCACCAAGGATTTCTGTGTTCTCTGTGTTATTGACTTTACGAAGCACGAGCGATAGCAAACTACCAGTCACCACGGGGATTTTGCAACAGCACAGAGGGGCGTAAGGAACCAATATGAATTTTACATATTTTTTTTTTCTTAGTGACTGCTCTATTTAGAGCCTATTAATAGCTTTCCAAATTCTCTAAAGGGACTGAAGTTTAACGTTCAGATAGGTTTAAGACTCTTTCAGCCCTTTTTCATCATGCATAAGTAACGTAAACTGTGGGTTTAGTGCTGGATTGCTTTCTTTGCGACAAACCTTGAGGTCCTCTGCAGACAAAAGAATCTCATCGTCTCCAAATTCACTCTCCTTGGGGAGATTTCTGCCGAGATTAAGGATTGAAGGATTTGCCTCATTACAACTTAATTTTATTTTTACAGTTTCCATACCACCTTTTAACAAAGTGAGCTGGATCTTTGTTTCTTCTGTGAGATTTCAGCTCAGGTTCAGGGCAAGTTAGTTCATCTGTGAGAGTCTAAACCAGGCAAAGACTGAACTGCAATTCAGGAAGAAAGGAAACTGCAGAAAAGCTAGCGAGAAGGGAGAAAGAAAGTACAGACCAGTAAAGCATGTTCAGAAGAATATTAGTTTATTTTTCTTTTTCTTTTCCAATTAATGAACTATGTGAAACAGAAAATGGAGAAGGACAAAGATACTGCTATTTGACAGCCCATGCAGTTAACAATCAAGAGATTCTGAAGGCAGGAGTGCAAAAGACGGGACATTATTTTCCACGTGGATCTTGCTAGTGACTTCTGGCAGTTCGCTGTTACTTACTCATCTGGTTGCTGTCATTCACAAAGTCCTCGGACCCATCATTGTCATCTTCATCATCCCCAGAAGAAAGAGCATCTGCACATTAAAAATAATCAAGTCTTTAAAACAGCCTTTTTTTTTTCTTTTCTTTTTTTTTTTCAGACAAATAATCCAATATGCTACCTCTTAGACTATCTATCAAGCAGAACAGATGTTATGTTAGTTGTGCAGAAGCTATGGAAAAAGAAAATCCAGCCACAAAATGTGTGTTATTCTTATAAAATTCTAACAAAACCAGTTAATAATCCTAAAATGCTGCAAAATTTCCAAAGGGAGCTTGCTAACTCCAAAAGTCTCTTTCCACTTAGAATTCTTATTTTTCTTAAAGACATTCAGCTGAACAGAACTGAGTGTCTCCAGAATGATTTATCTCTAAACTTAAAGGATGTAGAACATCCCTTTTCCTCTTCTGATGCAGGGGGGAAAAAAACTTGTATTAATTTTACTGGCTTTATCATCAACAGCAACTCTGTATAATTTAATCCAGTCATAGTGGCATAAAACAGAGGGCTGTTCACCAGCTGTTAATTGCTATTGATACCATGAAGTAAAAGGAGTATATGTATGTATATATATGTATGTATATACATAAAAACTGAGCCCGTTTCAGAGTCAGGACAAGGGGAAAAATACTTGAAATAACTACAGAACTCAGTTCAACTCGCTATGCCCAAGTAGACTGGTTCACATTGTGTCATAATGTGTCTTTATATCACATTTTACAGCTTCTACATGCAAAAACCTACGTTTAACTCACTCACCTGTAACATTTACAATGAAGTACAGAGTATCACTGTCTAGGGTCCTAACAGCAGTGCAAGCATAGAGGCCTGAATCTCTGGGTGTAGCATCCTTAATTTGTAAGTACTCCCCAATAATCACTGTCCTATTGTCGGGCCCCAAAGGGACCCCATCCTTAGTCCAACTGATCATGACGGCGTCTTTCAATTGACAGCGCAACTCAAGCGGTTCTCCTGGAAGTGCTGAATATACATCTGGCTGAGAGATTTGGTATTTGGTTGGCGGCTCTGCGAAGGTGGAAGGAAAGGAGGAAAAAGAAGAAAGAGAAGGGAAAGGAGAGAATTTCCAACAAAAGTCAGTGAAGGCCCTTTTCATCCACAGAAATCAAGTTATGTTAAATAAAAAAGTTTCATCCAGATTAGCCCAGCAATCTGTCTTGTAAAACTGAACCACATGCAGGTATGGGATAGGCTTTATTTTGGAGAAGTTAACCACAAACAAAGCTCGTTCCCTTTTGATCAGCGTCTTGGCATGTGCCTTGTCCTGAGTGCCACGCAAAGGCACAACCCTTCTCACCGGTCACAGCGAGCCAGCTCTGGGGAGATGAGTGCTGCTGAACGTGGGCGCTTCGAAGGATTTGGAGGCAGCGGGAGGAGTTCAAAAAGCAAATTCAGTTTTATATCTTAGCATCTGCATCTAAGATTCAAAAAAGTATTTATCTTTCCCCATCTGATTTTATAAGTTGCCTTTTAATTTAAAAAAAAAAAAAAAAAAGACACACTGAAAAGAACTGTGTTGGAAGAAAAGGATTGCCAAAAAAACCCTCACTAAGCTAATAAACATGAGTTCCTATACACAACATATATGATGTCCTTTATTTTTCTCCCTGAACCCTTCCCAAAGTCTCTACATTTGTCTTCTACACTGCCAACTCTGCTCCCAGTGACAGTAACTTTTTCCTTTAATTTTTTTTTTTGCTTCATTTCTTATTTCACAGCCTCCCCTGAGCAGAACACAGCAGCAACCCGGGAACACAAGCAAAGCTTTCAAAGTCACAGCGTACACAGAAGTTCAAAACAAAATGGCTCATCCATCAGTTCCCTTTTGTAACCAAATAACAAGAAGAATGTCAAACCACAGTCTTTTTTCCAAAAAAACATCCTTGGAAAACTACATCTGCCTATAGTTACTAGAGCATCATCACCCCCGTCCAAGGGTGGCTCTCGGCAGGGGGAAGGGAAGCGCAGCCCCGGGCACCCGGGATGTCTCCACAGGGACAGCGGGACGGCTCGGTGGAGGGACCCCCCACACAACACCTCCGACACGCTCGAGCTGTGCCCAGTGTAGGCACTGCTTTTGCAACTGCTTTCTCCCTGCAACCCCAGTATCCCTCTGCCACCAGCCTCCTGGCCCCGTCAAGGCCGGCATGAAAAGCAAATAAGGGAAAGCAGCGTGAAGGCATGTTCTGTTTGCTCACGAGGAGGGCCACATCGCACGGAGAGCGGCTCCCCGGCACACGTCCTTCCCCACACAGGCACCAGCTGTGTACCACTGTGTGCATATATAAATAAAACACACACCTCTCTTTGTTTGGGAGTCTGAGGGAATATTAAAATAGGCGACTCCTCGGTGTCCACCCTTGCTTCTAAGAATACCGAAACCCTGAAACACATGTTCCTCGTCTGTCAGGCACAGCGTTGTCATTTCTTGTATCACACCTTCAACAGAAAAGTCTGAAGCAAGCGTCACATCTGAGCTAGCCTGTGGACGGGAGCTGAGAAATGCTGAAGCTCTGTCAGTAGTTTAGTTTTAGGTAGGCCTGTGAGGAGCAGGGAGTTGGACTCGATGATCCTTATGAGTCCCTTCCAACTCAAGAAATTCTATGATTCTACAAGTACCAGAAGTGGCCACCACAGCGAGACACTCATGCATTTCAATATTGGGTTATACTGATGCGCTTGAAAATAGCGTGCCCAACTTCTCCTCCCACTTATCCTGAAATCATGTAATTTCAGGGAGTTCAGTGGGAGTTTGCCCAAAGCAAAGGGGAGAACAGATCCAGGGATGTGCCCTTGCAAAGCAAGCAAGGCTTCTCCTGGCTTTTTCCCTAGGACAAACATGGTTTTTTCAATCAACAGAATTGACACATGCATCACATCAAGATGGTGGCCAGAAGTGCATAAAACCATCTAAACAAGACCAATTATGTAGACTGTAAAGATTCTTGAATTTAGATTTTATAACAAGGTCTCTAAACTTTCTAGCGTGCAAAGTTCCATCTCAAAGTCTACAACAAACTACAATACAACTTTATACTCCTTATAAACTAATTCAGCCTTGCTGATACAGTCATGAATCCACAGATCTGCAATGCAGCTGTTTCACCGAGCACCACACTATGCTGTTAGAAATCTAATTTCCAGAAGGAGCACAGGCTTGTTTCTACATATATTTCATATGAGCAATAAGTATATTTGAGTATGCTTGAGATTTTTTTAAAATCAGATTCCACTGTCAAATTAAAAAAAAAAAAAAAATAGCTGAAGCCAGCTAGCTAATCTCCTTTGAAGTTTTTAAGACTTCTTCGTAACGCTCTACCTGCAAAGAAAATTTCTTTTACAGAGTTTACCCTGTGCCAACAATGTACAGGAGTCTTTAAAAATGTCTTTGTTTAAACTTTTTAAAAGCCATGGCGGGTAAAGATAACTCAACCCTGCTTTAAGTGCATTAGCGGCTTTCTTTTGCTGAAGAGCCCCAGGAAACTCGCAGGATGGTCACGCAGGTTGCGGTGTCCTCCTGGGCAGATCGGTTGTTCACATACAATTACAAGGAAAATCATTTTCTACCTCCCATCTCTTTAAACTGTTATCCCCAAATTTACACTGAGTCTTTCAACACAAATCCAAACTCAAGAACAGTAATTTATTTCAAAATTACAAAAAAAATTTCCTTTTACAAGGAAAATTACTAGTACACTGAAGAAAAACAAGTTTCAAATGGGTATTAGCATTTGGTAAATATTATCCTCCTCCATTTCTTTCTCTCTAGAGTATCAGGGAAGATACAGCACAAAGTGTTGCCATGAAATAATGAAGTCATGCTTGGAAATAGTGAGTTATTTCAGGTAAGCCTTTGTGTTGCCAAACTAGAATGTAGCAGCACTTAAGACTGTCGCTTTTTATAATGTTTGCCTATAAACTTTTTCCAGTGTGGGTTTGAAATGGTGCCCAAAAGCAAACAGAGAGCAGGTGGGATTCTGAGGCATGAGTCCGCCCAACAGCTTCACTGAGAAAATCAACCAGTTTAAACTGTTAAAAAATTCCCGGCAGCACATAAACAACCTACGCTGCAAAGTTAACTCTCTCTCCAGGACACCGCGCAAGGATTTTTACACCGCTCTGAAATTTAGGGATGAAGTTTGAACTCATGTGCATGCCATACCACCAAATCAAGGGTTCTCCTGAGGCTGACATCAGGATTATTTCCCCGCTTCCATGTCTTTTGAGCGTACCAGAGAAGTAAGGCTGCAAGTTTGCTCAGCCCTCGCTTGTACCCATCCTCCGGTGTTTTCAGCATCCTCCTGAATTTTCCCTTTGTGAAAATAGCTAGATGGGAGAAGGAGGAGATAGCCCTTCAGAGCCTGCACCACCAAGCAAGGCTTGATGATCTGGCATCACCTTCATGTTCCTCCAGCCCTCTCAGAAGCTCTGCCTTGAAGCTGTTTCCTTCAGCCATCGCCATAAGCCTGGAAAACCAGCCTTTGCTGGGCGAGCTCCGCACCGCCGAGGGAAGGCAGCACAGGATGCCTTTCTAAGCGAGTTCTCCTGCAAATCCTACAATTGTGGCCTTCGTTCCTATGGCAAAGGTGCATTAACCGATACGAATAACACCTGTCTATCACCCCTTAAAAAACAAACAAGCAACAAAGGCATGCGTAAAATTTCTGGTGGTGGTGTTAAACACTGGGGGACAAGGGAGGGAACGTTGCCTCTGCTATTGTCTGCTCTCAGCTACATCCTTATTTGTACTCCTGGTGCACACAATGTATTGTAACTTCATAGGTGGAGCTATTGAACAATACTGCCATGGAAAACCAAGCTGCTGTTAAATAAACAGGCGCAAACTTTTTTCTTTGCCTGCTCATACAGTCTCGCAGCATGGTTTATGCCATCCGGCCACCAAATGGAGTAAATAATGTTTGTATAAAAACCATAACCACAGCAGAGGGCTGGGGACATTCTGAATGTGCTATTTCAGATTATTATGAGATAGGCAATGATATTCCATGCTTCTTAATCATGCTCCTATTCAAGATTCGGTCACTGAAACGAGAGATTTATACTTCGCTAGGTTTTAAATTATTATTATTTGCCTCCATTTATTAAAATGTTAACAAAGAGCTGCTTATCTTAAGGCTCAAGGCATTTAGTTACTTAGTTACAGAGCCAAATAATTAAACAATCAGCTAATAGCTAACCCCAGCAAAGATTCTCACACAACTCTCCTCACACAAAAGCCTCAGACCCCATCAAGCCACTTTCCCTTCAAAAGGCTTTAGTAAATAACTAAACACTCACCACAGCGTGCCCAGAAGGGTCAGCGGACCTGACCTGTCAAGAATCCAAGAGGTTCATTGCAAAATTGAATGTCCCTACAGGGAACGCCAAGCTGCCAACCACCACCACTCCTCCTGCTTCTCTGACCCCTTTCTCCTCTTTTTCCTGTCATTGAGGAAGATTCAGTAAGAGCACGCTGGATGAGCAACACAGAGCAGGGGTGTCCAGCTACGCCTGAAGCAGATAGCCACGGGCCCCACAACTTTGCGAGTCAAACCCAAGCCTTTAATGCTCTCTCCACGAGGCAGCCTCTGCCAGATCAGGCAGCCCAGGTACCACCAGTCAGGCTGGCAACCTTCCCTCCCACCTCCCAGGTACAAGCTGATGGGCTTCTCCTTCAGTTTAAGTTGGCAGGCTAATATGAAAGAGTAGCTCCATGTCCTCTTCTGATGATGGATGATAAACTCAGCCTACAGAAGAAACAGCCACCGGTTTAAAAATGCAAACGGTCGTTCCTGGGCACAGTGACTATCTCCCGTTAGCTAATGGCAAACCGAAGCCGCAAAGGCTAAGCACATCTCCTTATACAAAGGGGGACAAAATAGTGTTTGCAATTCATCCATCTGCTTCTCCAAAGTCACTGGATTCCTGCTGTCGTCTTTGTACGGCGTTTCCGCCAGCTAGCTGCCAGCTCTGCCCAGCTCTGCCTCCGCCAGGCACAATCAGGAAGT